ATCGGAAGATAGAAGAACTTCGACAATCCCTCAATCGGTATAAAAAAGTGCAAGACATGGTCATACTGGCTCAAGGTAAAAAAGGTACAGTGCAAGTCTGAAGATTTTTGCACTTTATTTTGCACGCACATTGTCATAGTATTAGATTGATTCCCATACTTTGAATCTGGCCTTGATTATTTAACAGGTGGTTGCTAATGTCTCCTATAGTCTAATTTGCCTCTTGTATTTCATCAGTTTTTTTTCTAATTCCCTTTAAAGCTTTTATATCTCCATGGTAGGCCTTTTTAAGGTCAGCAAGGGAAAGGCCTTTGAGCTGTAGAAGTCTCTTTCTTTATTTTGTTAAATTCCATCTGGACTTAGCTGACTTAAAACTGTTAAGAATTGCAATTCCCCCACTCTTGCTTCTGCTTTCCCCGGGGTGGGGAATTGGTAACCTGCCAAAATAATAGCTGAACTTCCAGAGCACCTGTAAAAGATCCAGGTTAACTGTTTTTGCCCCCGGTGTGGTGTTATCCCCTGTTTGTATCCCTTACCCCCTAGGGATGCCACTTGGAACAAAAGCCCCATTTTCTGTGGTAGGTGGGAAGAGAACAAACACGGTTGGACCAGGCTTCCCCAGGCCACCCTTAGAAATTAGCAGTCTGATACCAGTTGTCTTTTCCTCTCTGGGAAGACTGCTTTCTCCACTTAATCCTGTGTTAGAATAGTGGGCTGCAGTGCTAAAATTTCAGCATTTTGATGATGATGTGCTCTGGTGGTGGGGAGGCTGTTAAAAATTTCATGTGTAGGAATCTCTGTAAATCGCAGAGGAAGTAGCCCCCGCAGTGACTCCTTCAATTTTTTTTTCATTTCACCACTTGCTCTACCTGTCCCTGATTGGCGGAGGGGGCCAGCTGGCTAGGCCATTTGCCGCTGATTGCCAGTGAAGCAAAAACTGTGTTGTTTGCCTCCCCACCACTGATTGGCAGAGGGGCCCTGGTGGCTTGACTGCTTGCTGTGGACCAGTGGGGAGGCAAAAACCATGACACATTTAAAACTGTATTTTTCATTTCCCCAACAATCAGTAGCAAACATCCTGACCAGAGGGGCCCACCCCTCTGCCAATCGGGAGGGAGGGGTCAGCAGTGAAATAAAAAAAATTAAAGGAGCTGCTGTGGGGGGCACTTCTGGCATGATTACAGAGATCCCTACTCATGAGAGAATTTATTTTACATTTTTCCTTTTTTAAAAAGCCTACCTAGCATCATATTAATTGCATTACAAAGAGTTATTTGATTTAGAAATCTAAATCACTCAAAAGTTAGAAAAGACTGGGTTTCTAGTGGTCTGTGCAGTCTTACCTTGAACCCAAGGGTGCGTGCATGCACACATGCATTGATGTACTCTTTCAAGAATTGCGTGGTTTTTATTCTGCAATTCTTTATGCTGTGTATAAATTTTATATCACAGTTGTTGTATTCCTATTAGATTTGCCCCAAACAGTAACTGCTAAAATGCACTGTAGTATTTTGCTAGCTAGAAGGCTACCTAATATTTTTACAGCAGAATTTGATAGTATTTCGAATATTAACCTTCCATGGTCACGCACCGTTCAACAGAGGAAGCATAGTGGCTTATAGTATTGAGTTATCTTGCACTTGGAGATGGAGTTTTTTCAGATTGACCAACCTCAAACCTCCACAAACAACCAGCATCTGACAAAATAGGTTGTTGCTTACAAAAGCTTGTGCCTCTCTGAACCAATCTCTAAAGTGCCACCCAGCCCTACCTACTGACAAACCTTAGGGTTCGCTTGTTTATCCTTTATGAGGTTGATTGGCTTTTAGAGGGAAGGGGCCGATGAGGTTATATTCAAGCTACAGGGAAAACCCAATGAAAATCTTAAAGCTCACGAAGAAACTTACCTGGGGAGTAGTAAGTTTTCCCAGGTCATTGGCGGGTGGGACATAAAAGGCTCTAGGGTGAAGATAGGCTGTATTGAGAAGGCAGTATACTCGATTCATTTTTGTGGTGAAGAGTTTGGATGTTTTGTTCCATCAGCCCTTCTGTATTGGTCCTGGAATGCAAAGTGTGGAGAGGAGGTTCATTACTTCCTACAAGTCTCTTTGCAAGGCCTGCAAGGAGGAGGATATGGAAAGAAGCATCTTCCTCTCCCACCAATTCTCCATTTTGCAGGCCTGTGAGGCACTTTAACTGCAGGTGTTAGAAAGCCATTAGGAAACAGAGAAGGAAGTCTTGCTGCATGAACTGCCAGTGCTCTATGGGGGAGGAGTGTTAATATTGAGGACCTACACAAAGGGATGGATCTAAGGAGATCAACACAGAATGGTAGGGTCAGTGAATCGTAGGGGATTTTGGGGGCTTTTCCATATCCCCCAGTGACTTGTGGCACTTGCAATTTTCCTAGGATTTATAGGGGTAAAGTTCTTCTCCAGCCTTATTCCTAGGACCATTTTTAAAGAAGAGAAGGGAAAGATTCCTCCAATAAAAACTTTAAGATGGTCCTGCCACGTGTTTGTGGCTTGAGCTTGCTTGACCTCTGCAAACAGTACTGTTAAAAACCACAAATAAAAATGCAGGTATCCTGAGAACCATTAAACAGTGTGAAAATACAGCTTTTCAAGCAAGCTACCCAAACACCCTGGCACTTGAAAGAATTTGTCTGGTCTGTAATCTACTACACATGTATTTTTACGGTTATTTAAAACCATGAATTAGATTTCAACTGTTTTGGATAAAATAGTAGTATTTCTAGTTTAATCACGAATATGTAGAAATTCTGTATAATATTTCTGATATAAAAAATATTTTAAAAAAATGCCCACCTCACATTGCCTTAGCCACCCATAGCAGTTTCATTATATCCTTGATCGCCAAAATGCCCTAATATCATATGAATAGTATGTTTTCTACCTTATCCCTTCCATAAAGCTATACATAAAAGCATTTTACAAATTCCTGATTAAACAAGTGATATGCTGACGCCACTCCTTCCCTCCCCATAAAGAGCGTAATCTCATATCTGTTCATGTCAGTGATAGTTATTCTGTTGACTGTAGTGGTTTTTGGATCAAGTTGTAGCTCTTCATGACTGGTAATTTATTTACCAGGGTCATGAGGTACATAGTTTGTGGGCCTCGTATGCAAACCTCATGTGACTAGGTAATGAATGAGAACCCTTGCATGACATTGGTGAAGGTTGCTAGGATTACAAACGCACCTATTTAATATTGGGAAGAGCAGCGGGGGAGAGAGTGAGAAATTGCTTAACACGTAAAAAAGGGAGGCTCGTAAAATAATTTTTGTTCTCTCAGGTTCTCTCTCTCTCTCGTACACTTCACAGAACAGACCAAATTTTAGTTTGGGAAAAGCAAGCAGTAAGATTTAAATTCAGATACAAAAATGCTTTGACAATTAATTACAGACTCGTACTAGGAATGCCTCAATACCTTTTCTTGTGAATATCAGTTATGTAGCATGCTGGTATTGATCAGCAGGGTAGAAATCCACATATTTCAATATTACTGCACTAGTTAGGGAATGAGAGCGTGGTACAGTGAAAGAGAAATACAGTTTTCCCTTGCTTTATGCTGTACATGCGTTCTTGGAAAATGGCATTTGTTTACAATGTAACAAATAGGGATATGTTCCAACACCTCAACTGTACTGACTCCTAAAACTATTTCTACCACTTTTAAAAGACAATTTTGATACTCGCCAACAGCAGACTACACACAAGCACAGGGCACTATCATAAAGGGGATGGCAACTACAGAAACACATGTTGCAGACAATGAGTGAGGATCCACACAGGAGACTATTTTGGTGCACGTCACTCCCACAATGCACCGCACAAAGCAGCTGACTGTGGGCTTTCACAACACCGATTGCATAAGAGTGAATTTACCTTGCATTGTTGGTATAAAAAGGGTCATTGCATAAGAGCGAATTTGCACATACAGAACCCTTATAAAGTGAGGAAACCTGTATGCAAACTATAAACTAGTAGAATGAGATGCAATTGATTTGTAGTATTGTGCAAAATGGTGATTTCCCCCTCTTCCCCCCCCCCCCCCCCCCCCCCTTATTTAAAGCTAGCATAGAAATTGATTCCCTGTGTTTGTTTTTTTTATGTTGTTTTCTTCTTTGCTTTGTACCCCATTTTCCCTATGGTTAACTGAGCTGGCATAATGGAGATTTTGGTTTTTCATTTAAATTTCAGACTGACATATTTGTCTGCTCCATTTTGGTTCAGTCAAGATGGGAAAAGAAATATATGTGCCCCAGAGTTTCAGTGTTTAACATTATAATAAGGACAAAGATGTTCAGTGTATTGAAAATGCTCCCACTGAAATGCTTGTGTGCAGAGTTTGGGTTTCAGGTATGATAACAGAAATAAAATTGCAAGGGTGAGAAAACTACCTAAGTTGTGGACTCTTTACACTGCTGTGGTTCAGTCTCCTTGCCGTTCAGTTTTTGCATAAGGCAGCTTGCGCTGCTCTCCAAGGACCCCTCCATGAGCCTCACTTAATGGGCTTCTCCAGGGTGAGTCAGAGAGTAAGAGAAACTTGTCCAATATAAGAGGGACTGTGCTTCTGGTGCAAAGCATTATGGGAATGCCAGCTGATGCTGTTATCTGGAGATAGACTGCTGTAATTTAGTCATGCTAATTCCTGCAGTAGTCCAGAACTGGCAAGGCATGTTGGTGGCAGTGGAGTTACGCTCTAGTCCAGGGATGGGCAAATATTTCAGGCAGAGGGCCGCTTACTGAGTTTTGGCAAGCCATTGAGGGCTGCATGACAGGCAGCCAGGGGCAGATAAATATTAATTTTCTAAATTTTCTGGCCCACCTCTGCTATAGTCCCATATCTCTAGTCTCCATCTTTTAGCATGGCACTTCAGAATATTTCACCCCAGGTGTTAAAGTCAGGGTCCCACTTCCAATTTCCACAAGCACTTGGCACTTGAAATAATTTGTTTGGTCTGGACTCCACTACACACATGATTTTAGGACATTCATTTAAAACTATGAGTTAAAATTCATCTGTTGGATTAAATAAATAAAAAGTTCTTGTTGAATCTCGTCTGCCACAGTTCTGTGTAATATTACTGGTATCACATTCTACAAAATAGGGATTTTACAAAGCTAAATCCTCAGGTAGCGAAAGCTGATGTAGTTCGACTAAAGTCAGTGGAGCTTATCCCATGTTATACCATTAAAGGGTGTGGCTCATAGTGTGAGAATTTATTCATCTTATTGGATATTGGCACTGCAACTGCAACAATCATATAGATGCCTAAGGGTCATTGATACTTGGTCCTGCTGAAATTAGAATGTCTGCTGTTAAGCGCTGATGTGATTGTTTTCATTAGGGGAGGGGGTTTTTAAAGCTGTGTTGGGAAGTCACGACTTCTGGCAGGAAAGGATTAAAAAAGCAACTCACCCTACTCTTACACTTTTCTTCCATCACCATTACCATCCTCCAGGCACCTACCCTCAGTCCTTAAACAAGAATCATGCTTTGCTCTTCATGAAAACAGACCCTATCTTGTATGCAGCAATAAAGCCCACAGGATTTCCCTTTCTCTTCTATTAGGCAAAGAAGGTGAATATGAAGAGTTTGTGAATTCAGGATCTGTTTCAGCAGTTTTATTGGATGCACAGAATCTAATTGATCCAGAAAAGAGCCTGTCCCTGACTCCAGTAATTGGCTCTCCAGGTTGCGAAGAGTATAGTGTGAGCTTCCTCGAAGAGGTATCTGTCTTTTTCTCTCAATATATCACTACTTGAAAGGTTACTCCTGGTGGTGTTGTATTATACAAGCCAAGACTGCGTTTTGGTGAGCCTTCTGGGTTTTGGGAAGTTTCCTTAAATCTTCCGTTGTTTTTTTTTCTGTTTTGTGGAGAGTACAGATTTTTGTGGGAATACTGCCAACTATATAAGAATTAGTTATTTTTCCCCATCTAATTAAAATTATTTTAGGTTTTTTAATTTTTTCTGCTGTAATTCTGGACTGAATTCAAATACATTACATGGGTGTAGGACTATATATTATATATCCATTTCTGGCTTATGAAGCTCTAAATGCTGATTATAGTGATGTAAGCCCTTAATCTCCAGTGCCACCTGGCCTATTTTACAAGCATTAAAATTAAGTTGATATGGGAATATATTGGTTTATTATACCCTGGAGATGCAGTATTTCATACATCTGTTTCTATTTTATTCTTACTGTCATTCAATAGTTATATAGTTTTAACCCATAGCAATGTAACAATCTATTCTTTCTTCTTTTAGAATTCCCTCCAGGTCCACACCAGCATCTTGCAGGTCTCAATCCCTTCTTTTTCATCAACACCAAAAAGCTCCAAAGCAGGTGCAGAAAAAGTAAAAGCACAGCTGAACCCAGAAATTACAAGTGAAACAAGGTATGGCCACTTCTGTTTCTAAGTGGCATATGTATCCAAAAAATACCACGAGAGTATTAATTAAAATTGAGTTTGTTAGCGACACATGGATAATTGGAATGTTAAGTCAGTTTCAGGAAACTAGCACGGATATATTAGAATGTGAACAGGGGCCAGATTGTTTGCTTACCAAATGCAATGGGTTTTGTTGGTTTTAAAATCTAAAAAGTATTTCTTTGTTGTTCATGGAGCACCAACAATGTGGCCTCAGTGTTTTTCTTGCAAGAAAAAAAGACATTGACATGAATGGAATGAGCAAAAAGGTGATCTAATGCTGTGGACCAGAGGTTTTCAACCTTTTTTAGCAAGTGTACCCCTTCTGGTGGTGGCGGCTGGATGCTGGGTGGGGGTTGCTTGCACGTGGCGGCCGCTGCTTCCCCCCACTGCCATCGCCACTGCACCCCACTTTCCCACAGCTGGTTGCACGTGAGGCTCTGCAAGCTGCTGATGGGCCTCGCACCCAGACAATCGCGCATCGCCTGTCAGCAGCCCGTGGAGCTGCACGTGCAACCAGCCGTGGGAAAGCGGTGCAGGGTGGTGGTGGTGGTGACTGCCACATGTGACCCTGCCCCCAGTTGAGCCAGGCAGCGTCTGTGTGGCCCACAGAGGGGCGCTGCTGCCCTTGCACCCCCCCACCTCCTGGCCCTGCTCCTGGGAGCTGGCATAGAAACACACTTAACTCATCCTCCCCCACCATTGAGACCCTGGCAGCCAATCAAGAGAGCAAGCTGGGGTGGAGGTGGAGAGGCACTGTGGTGTGCTGCATGGGGCCGGCAGTGCCTGGCACAGCCTTCCCACAGGTAAGAGGTGAACGTGTTGGGGGAGACACTGCAGTGCCCTGGGGCATGCTCTGTGCCTGCCTGCCTGCCCACGCGTACCCCAAAGACCTTTCTAAGTACCCCTGGGGGTACGCATACTCCCGGTTGACAACCCCTGCTTTGGAGAATTGTTTGGACTTCATATAAACAGCTTAGTTATAGACACAACAGCATCATTTGCATTAAGGCAAATTTGCAGTAAGTGTAGATTTTTCCATAGCTACTAAAATTTACAGCAAGGTGTTACCAAAGTATAAGTAGTCCGCTAGCAGCAATGTAACCAAAGAGTAAGATTAAAGGAGCTGATTGGTGATGAAGGCTTTGGCTTCTTTGACAGTGAGTGGAGTTGGAAGCTGCAGCTTGTGAAAAGAACTACAATCTGATTGGTATCACTAAGACCTGGTGGGATAGCTCTTATGACTGGAATGGGAACCTTGAGGGTAGCACTATTATGGAAGGACAGGGTTGGGAGGAAGGGTGGTGGTATTGTCTTGTAAGTCAGGAACACATACACTTGTTCCTTGGTTCAGGAGGAAGAAGATGGCAAAGCAGAATGCATTTGGGTGAAATTGAAAGGTGAAAGATGTGTCCGTAATGGTGGGGATTTATTATAGGCCACCTAATCAGGAAGAGAAGGTGGATGAGGTACTCTTCAAGCAGGTGACAAATCTATCCAAAAGCTATGGGATGGTATCTGCTGGAAAAGCAATGCAGTAAAACAAAATGTCATGCTGGTTCCTAACCTGTATGGAGGATAATTTTATCTTCTAGAAAGTGGAGAATACAATTAGGGGATCATCTGTCTTGGATCTTGTCCTGACCAACAGGGAAGAACTGGTGGAAGATATGAAGGAGTTGGGTAACTTGGGAGGAAGCTATCACAATACGTTAGATTTTTGCAATGGTGAAAGCATGAGGTCAGCAAAATTAGGATGCTAGAATTCAAGAAGGTGGATTTCATCCAAATCAGGGAGTTTTAACAGGCATGATAGGAGGGCTGGGAGCTTCTAAGGGGCACAGTATTGGAAGTCCAACAAGAAAATCTCCCCCAGCACAATGGAAGCACAAGAAGAATGGCAAGAGACCAATGTCACTGCACAAGCAGCTTCTAAAATGCTTGACATGCAAAAGGAAAACATACAGGCAATGGAAGAACAGGCAAATCACCTAGGACACATACCAGGGAATAGCAAGAACCTGCAGGGACAAAATTAGGAAGGCAAACAAAGAATAAACTGCACCTGGCACAAAGGAGGCTAAGGACAACAAGAAGAGGTTCTATAAGTAAGTTGGCCAGAAAAGAAGGACGAAGGAAGCTGTGAATTCTCCGTTAACAAGTCAGGGGGAACTTCTAAATCAGAATACAAAGAAGGCAGAGCTACTCAACAGCTACTTTGCCTCAGTCATCACAAAAAAATTCAGCTGCCAAGGGCTAACAGGTATTATTTGGATAAGCAAGCTGAGGGAGGAGATGACAAGAGAGATGGTGAGAGAGCTTTTGTTGGGTCTTCATGAATTCAAGTCAGCAGAGCCAGATGAGCTTCATCCCCAGGTCCTGAAGGAACTGATGGAGGACATCTTGGAGCCCTTGGCAATGATTTTTGTGACGGTGTGGGTGACAGGACAGATACTAGAGGACTGGAAAAGGGCCAACATGGTGCTCCTCTTTAAAAAAAGGCAAGAAGGGAGGACCTGGGGAACTACAGGCAGGTTAGCCTCACCTCAGTACCTGGGAAGTTCCTGGGGTATATCCTAAGCAAGATCACCTGCAAGCATCTGGAGGAGGAAGGGTTGCCTGCAAGCAACCAGCATTGATTTATGAAAAACAAGTCATGTCAAACATACCTGATTGCCGCCTTTGACAAAGTAACTGTTTGGGTTGATGAAGGGAATGCTGTGGATATAATGTATGTGGACTTCAGCAAATCTTTTGTCCAGGTCCTGCATGACCGTCTCATAAACAAATTGGAGAAATGTGGGCTGAATAAAACTACTACAAAGTGGATCAATAACCGGCTGAATGGCTGCAGGCAAAGGGTAATTATTCATGGGTCCATGTCAGAATGGCAGAAGGTTTTGAGTAGAGCCCATAGGGGTCTGTCCTTGGTCTAGTGCTGTTCAATGTGTTTGTTAACTATTTGGTTGCTGGCATAGAAATCTTCTTGAGTGAGGATGACGTGGAACTGGGAAGGGCTGTGAACATGCTGAAGGATGTGAGTGCAATTCAGAAGGATCTTGACATTGGAAAGTTGGGCTAGAGCTAACAGGATGAAGTTCAATGCGAACAAATGCAAGGTGCTACACTTCATGAGGAATAATCAAAAACACAAATACAAAATGGGGGACACCTGGCTGAATGGCAGCTCTGTGAAAAAGGACTTGGGAGTCTTGGTAGATCACAGACTTATGAGTCTGCAGTGATATAGCCACACAACCGGCGAATGCCATTTTGGAATGCATCAATAGAAGCATTAGATGCAAGACACAGGAGGTGATAGTGCCTCTCTACTCAGCATTGGTTAGGCCTCATCTGGATTACTATGTGCATTTCTGGGCTCCACATCTTAAGAAGGACATGGAGAAGTTTGAGAGGGTCCAGAGGCAGGCAACAAAGATGGTCAAGGACTTGGCAGGCAAGTTGTATGAGAGGCTGAAGGAGCTATGCATGTGGAAAAGGTTCAGCTTGTGGAAAAGGTGTTTAAGAGGGGACATGATAGCAGCCTTCAAATATTTGAAGGGCTGCCATAAAGAAGAGGTAAAGCACCTTTTTGTTCTTGCTACATAGAGGAGGACACAGACTAATAGTCTGAAGTTGCAGCAAAGTAAATTTAGATTGGATATCTGGAAAAAACTTCTTCACTGTGAGGCAGTGGAACAGACTGCCTAGGGAAGTTGTGGGCTGTCCATCACTGCAGGTGTTCAAAGAGGTTGGACAGCCCCTGATCAGGGATGATCTAGGCATAGCTATGCCTATTTTCTACCATGGGTATTTCCCATGCTTTTGGCTTCGCAGGTTGCTCCTGTTCTCCCCCTTTGCCCCTTTTTTCTGATATGCATGTCAGGGTGATTTTTAAACCTCCCCAGAGGCATTAGGTATTTGCTACAGCTAAGGTTGGGGACTTCAACTGGGGTGTGCTGATTCTTCTACTAGGAGTGAAGCCAGAGGTTTCTAGCTAGAAGGTCTTGTCCCTCTGCTGGGGGTCAGACCAATTACCATATTTGGGGTCAGGAAGGAATTTTAACCCATGGTCAGATTGGTATGGGCTTTTTGGATTTTTGCCTTCCTCTGTAGTGGGGGTGGGGGAGCATGGCCCTCTACCTGGAACCTCTTGAGTGCATATTGACAACATTTTATAGAAGCAGGACATTGGCTGCTGTGGTTCCCATTTTACCTATGGATGTCAGGGTTGAGGATAGTCTTATGTAGAATTTAGATTATGGTTGGATGGGATGGTTTGGATAGGGATGATTCTGCCTCAGTCAGGAGGTTGGACTAGATGACCTCTGGTGGTCCCTTTCAGCTCTACTTCTTTATGACCTATGCTGCTAAGTATCAATAGGATTTACGGTAATATATGCCAAAGCACTTGCATGTCTCAGCCTACATTTTTTTAAACTGCAATTAGGTAATATTTATTGGCAAAGATGTTAAAATTAAATCAGATCAGTGTTTTTCTAATGTTTACTGTGGTCTTAAATTGGCTCTAATCCTGAAGTAGGTTGGCTTTTTCCAGCCCCTCTGTTTTTGATACAGTCCCAAAATAGGTAACTTTTCCCTTCTTTTAAAATAGTTGTATTTATGCTTTACAAATACATATCTTTTAAAGTATTATTTCAGCTTGGGAGAATCTTTAATGCCCCCTTATGCCATTCCTGAAGCCTATATACAAAACGGGCATTGTTGCTGTATATACATAGGAAGATTAAACACTGAAAACAGCAAATTATGCATGCTGTTTCCCCAGTTTGGTTCATGTAAACCCATTTCAGTTAACATTTTTTAAATATTATTTGAACTGAGAAGCAAAGAATTTGGGAGCCAAGTATCCTGTCAGTACAATATTGGCTCTTCCTCTTTCATTCAAACACAGCAATTATGACATGGAAGATCTATCTCATTGCAATGCTTAACTGAAGTACAGGAGTTTTGAGCAATGCAGCGATTGCTTCAACTTTGCTTTGACCATTTTAAATGATATTGTAACAAACTATGTAGGTTTTTACTTTATAATACACTCAACGTTGAAGCATAGTTCATAGCAGGGCTAGCCTTGGGTGACGCAACATTTTAATGTCTTATGTTGTTTTAGAACTTCAGCCCTGCAGAAATCCAGCAGTCTGGACAATTTGAAGAAAGAGACATCACAAGTGGTTGGTTTTGTTTTTATTGCGTTTCCCCTTGAGATTGGAAACCAGCTTTTCTTGTTACTCTTTGTAGTCCTTTTGACTGCCTCAGGACTAAAATCTGGCTGAGAATACCAAAGGGATGGGAAAAATCCCTGAGATGGTATAATGCCATTGGTACTGCTCTGTCCCACTTGTAAAATCCTCTGCATATTAGTGAAGGAGAAAATCTGTCCTGGACTATTTAGGCATCTGTCTTTTTTGTGCAGTGAGAATTTACAAGAGACAATCTCCTGCACACCCAAGCTGTGTCTTCACTGGATGAGAAGGAATGTTCTTAACTTGAAAAAACCCACAGAAAAAGCCTAATGGAAACAAGGCAATCTGTTGTTTTCACCCAAGTTGTCAGATCACTTAAGACCAGGGATGGGCAAAATACAGCCCACCAGCTGGAGGGACCATGAGGCTGTTCCCGCCTGTGCCGGGGCAGGAAGCTCGGGTAAGGTGTGGGGGGCACACTGGTCCCTGTCTGGCCATGGGGCTGGGGCAGGGGGCTGGGAGTGACGGGATGCACGAGAACCAGCACTGGTGGGGCCCATAGCGGGGTGGCTCCCCTTTCTCCCTGCTGAGGCAGCCTGGCCCGGCTCCATAGAGCCCAGGCAGCTGCGCCCCAGGCTCCTGCCACCCTGCTCTAGGCCCTGTTGGCACTGTCCCTGGGGCATCGCCTGGCTGTCGCTGGCTCCCAACCCCCCTGTGTGGCCTTGGGGGCAGCATGGGGGCTGCTGAGGGCGGCATGACCTCGTGGGGATGAGGCTTGGGGCAGCAACGGCCTGGCTGCCCCCCCAACAGGAGGCTCTGGTGGGTGCTGCCACCCTGGAAGGAGGGTCCGGGTCCCCGCGCCCTAAAGGGGCCCAGCGGCAGCTTGCTCCCTAGCCCCAGGACGGGCGGGGAGGCTGCGACAGGAGCAGGAGTGGAGCCGTGGCCACTTTTCTGCTCCAGAAGTTCCTGCGGGCACGAGGAGCCCAGGGGCCCTGGGGAAGCTCCTGGTCAGCCCTGGGGGCAGCACGGGAAGCTTGGGGAGGCTGCTGGGGGTGGCATGACCTGACAGGGCCCCAACCCAGAGCACGGGAAGCTTGGGGAGGCTGCTA